CAATCAAGTTGTCCAACTCTACACATGGCGAATCGATAAGTCGCCGCCTCCGAGTGTAAGAAATTTTATTTAAATCCGACAAAAGATTCTTATTCTGAAAAATCTGACCAAGCTTTCGAGGATACCTCCAAGTTCCAAATAGCGGAGATCGATTCCGAGAGCGTAGAGATTGAAGGAAGAACCTGGCCGAGAAGAGACACAGTTCAGCATAGGAAATCTCGGGAAACCGATGTGATACAACCACTGCGGGTTCGCCGACAATTGCACTCGCTGCGATCACTTATCTCCTCTCATTCATTTTCCACGTAGCTGATCTTAAATACGATTTAATTAGGGCTCGTGCGTACTGTTGAACTGACGTTTGAGTGGTACTTTCCTCATTGCTCATAAGCGTCTGCACTTGTCCATTCTGCGGTGATCACAAGAGCTTCTCTATCGTTGAAATGATAGTTGTGATTAAATAAACTTCGGGAGAGCTACACGATATCGATATAATGCATGTGCATGAATAATTTGACTGTCACAATGTATTGCTTTTCTCTTTATGACAGTAATGTGAAGAATGGCAAAGCTTCAAATAAATTTATATACATTATATTAATATAATTATACTTAATGAATTTTATACTCTCTAAATCTGAATCAATGGATAATCAGTGCCAAGTATGCCACTGGTAATCAGTGAATTAAATGTGAGATCTCTAACCTAGTTAATTTTTATTATGTGATCTAACTAACCTTGTTTTAGTGCTTAAATTCAATGAATATGGTATTGGAAAATTGAAATTAACGTGCAAATATCAGTATTTTAGTTATATAATGCTCAAACGTTTTTCCTTTTTTAGTTGAACTTCACTGATTATCAGTACCAAGCATACTACTGGATAATTAGTGACTATTCACTTATTCAGATTTAGAGAGTATATATATACGCTGTTAGAAATTTCTCAATGAATTTTAATTAACATGTAACGGAAGCATGTGGTTATGCACGAAATTAAATGTAATGAATGATGTAAATAAAAACTAAATTACAGTAGTCTTAAATGTGATGAACGTGTGTATTGAAATTAAAGAACACATTATTATAGAAATTAATTTACACGTTAATGAAAAGTACGAAATCTGTAACTGAAAAGTAATTTACGTTAATGACATGTAAGAAACGTAAACGTATGCGTTAAGCGTTAATAGTATTAGGCTTAATTAAAATATTATTAATATTCGTAAATGTAAAAGTACAATAAATTTCATTAATATGTACATTAATAGTTATTTCAATTACGATTAATTAAATGTCATTTATATCCATAAATGAAAAGTATATTAAATTTCATTACACTTAATTTTTCAGTTACTGTAAACTTAAATCTCATTAACATGTGCATTAATAGTCCTTTCAGTTACAGAGAAATTAAACTTCATTCACCAATGTACATTAAAAGTTAATGAAATTTAAGAACGTTTCTAACAGTGTATATATGTACATTAGGTGTATACTCGTACATATATATATATATACCTAATAGACTTGAAAAAACCTAATATTTTTTAAAAATATGAACGCGTCAATATTATGATGTATCATATTAAAAATGTTTTTGTCATGTGTTGTTTTATAAAAGTACATTACCTTAAAGTAACGCAAGCATTATCGTATTTATTCATAAGACACAGGACGGACGTTCTGTAATATATATGATACCTACTCATAATGCATGTAGAAAACACGAGTGCATTCAAATAAGATGATTTCTTCTGAATAGACGTCCGTTGAAGAACAGCCGTGTCGCATCGTCATCTGATTTTTCCATCTAGTTTTCTTCCAATCATCCGAGTAGATTGGTCGAAATTTTCCGAGCGTATGGTTGCCCATTCATGCAGTAATACTACACAAATTTGCTCATGTACGAAATCACTGCACATGATCACGCACGTAGGCCTTGTGTGCATGGGCAAATAATATTCTTTATTATACATTATATTGATTCTCTCTCGCTATGTCTTGCGAATTGTAAATTGGTTGGTTAAAAGCCATCCATTGTGGATTGTGCCCGCAGGACAATTGCGTAATTATGATACAGTAAACCACGGCACGTTGAGCTCAAATAGGAAGAGGAATATAATAGGAATGCTCAAACGCTACACGCTGCAAGAGGACGAGGCTACTTTCACGTGAAAATGAGTTTAACACGATTGTTTCTTTAAAGCTTGCCATATCATTTTGTCAACAACAAAAAAATAATAATAATAAACAGGATGGACATTGTTTTTCGACAATTTATGAAAGTTTTGTAATTATATACTTGACGTAAACTGCGTATGTTCAAAACATACGCAGTTTACGTCAAAATTATTTTCTCGTTCTCAAAATTATTTTCTTTGTAAATAAATCTCTCGTTGAGTATGTACTTGGCAATATTATACATATCATGTTTACTTTGACTAGTTCACTATTGAATTTGTTATTAAATCAAATAAAAATTTAATGCAACGTATCTGTGTTTTTAATATTATATTTCTAAATATATTTTAAAGAGAAAGAGAGAGAACGCGAGCGAGAGAAATCAGTAATATAGCTTATATTATATATAATACATAGCAGCTTTACAAATATAATTTTAATTATTTTTGGAGGAATTTTCTGTGAAATAGCACTTGCAGCATATTTATTGATAAAGGCAATGTAGACTTTATGTATCTATTTGAATATTTGATCCAGCAATCGCAAACGCATTTTATTGAATATAAAAATATTCAATAAAAACTGCACTTCTCTCTCTCTCTCTCTCTCTCTCATAATATCTCTATTTTACTTTATTGTAAATATTTTAAATATTATACATGTATGTACATTTTCATTTTTAATATGAGATTCTCTATCTCAATAAACATGTTATGCATAAGTGAAATTGGTAGTTTTAAGTCGATTATGACTGATTGCAATTATTTGGTATTTCCAACCCGACGACTAGATTGTAACGGATAATTTTCGCGAGGGACGACAGCGAGTTCTCGTGTCAAGAGTTTGCGAAACGAAAGTCCAGACTCGAGAATGTCAACTCGGTGTCGAGTTATCGTTCAAAGTTCGCTAGCGACGTCGTAAGCACAGAATATAAAATTGGACAACGTGCAACGTGTTGCAGTACACACTCCGATGCGCGTACCGGGACAAATACATCTTGATTCCTGTTCCTTGTGTTCTAACGGGATGTGAAATCAGAAATGGAAATACGAGTCCCCTCGGTAGCGCGGAGCATCTTTTGTCGAGGGGAAATGAAAAGTTTTTCCTATCGAATATTATTTCGTGACGCGTAACGAAGGCTACACATCGCAGCAACGCTGACACGACTGCGTTGTGACGCAGTCCATAAAGTTTTTAAACCAAATGATTAACGTCGCGTGAGATATCGCATATTTTATTAAAAATTATCCTACGATTATACATAAATTTCTGAATATGCACATATTTTTTTTCTTTTTTTATATTTTATATTTTTTCTCTTTACTTTTTAATATCATTATATATATATATTACGTAGAATATTATACGTAATAAATTGATCGTGCAAGAGGTGAGAGATACTTTATCTATAATTATTGTAATTATTGAAATTATATGGAAATGGTTGGTTCTCCGTGCAATAATTATCGCGCTCGAAAGTATCAAATTTTGGTTGTATTTCAACCGTAGATATGCACTTGAAACAAATAAAATGATTAATTTTGCAAATATAATATGTATACATATATATTTGTAAAAAATGACACCCAAGGGAAATGCATTATAAATATATGATTTTTTTATTACAGTTGCGAGGGGGTCGATTCATTGGTGGCATTCGTGAATATAGATGGAAAGAAGGACAAAATAGATTCATTCTGCGGAGATATACCACCGCGACCTATCATGAGCAACGGTCCGCGGCTTTCCTTGGAGTTTCAGGGACTAACGTCATCTCGCCATTCGAGAGGCTTCAAAGCGACATACACTTTCATGGAAAGTAAGTGTGCGTAACACATCGATAATAAGGATCGATTAATAAGCTTATAACGATCGAGTAAGAAAAGAGTGTATTTCCTCGCGATGATTCAATGTGGTGAATCTTTTAAATAGAAATCTTCCGTTTGCGCGCGCGAGACGCGCGTAGATTTACACGTATATTGTCTTCCCGTAAATCGATTGGGAATGTTCCGGTCGAGATGGACGACGGGGATCATCGAGAATAACTTATCGACATGGAACGTGTTCGCGGCGCAAGATCAGGCCATGACGTACGATCTTATATATTCGTGGATGGGGCACGGAGCCGTATTCCGGGCTTTTCTCCTATGAGCACCTATGTCCCGTCAAAATTTCAATTTCCGCCGAGCATTCTATCGCGATAGCAATGCGTCTCGCCACGTTTCGCCGTTTATCACCCACAGGTGAGTTCGGATTGTAGCGCACATAGTGCACACGCGCTGGCATCCAGTAACGGAACTAACGGAACAAATGGATCGCAAAGTGTGTTCATCTTACCGAGAATCGTTCGGGGATATATATATATATATACCTTAACGTAAGAAAGTCAGAGAGAGCATCTCTCGCCAAGACTGTATACCTACTGACAAAAGTTAACGGGCGCACGAGCGGCAAACGGAGGCAAACAATCTGTCTCAAATATCAAGCAGGTAGAGGGGGATAACTTTGTCGTGGCGCGTCAGTTAAGGGATGAATATCGCTCGATTATACCGAGTATTTTATCGTCCTCCGGCTACTATCGAGCAGAGTCGAAAGTTCGCGCGCTATCGCATAATTGAAACGCGGCAAAATGGATCCTGACCTATTTTGCAACGGTGGAAAGAGATACGGCGGCGAAGTTCCGGCAAAGTCGCTCCGCGGCTCCGTATTATGAATGTTAACGGCAAGTTTGAGTTTAATTTTTACGAGCGGGACGTACCTACCTCTCTCTTCTCCGCACTTCACCCTCTCTCCCGTCTTTGAAACTTCGCCGCTGAATTATCGTGCTAAGGGATGCGGGTACGTTCTTCGGGGCCCACATAAATAGACTTCGGAGGATCCTCGAAAAAGACGGGGTTGCTCTCGCAAATCGAAGTAGGCATTCGGCAATCGAACTGGAACGGACACCAAGAAGAGATTCGCAATCCCTCCCTTCTCGCAGGAAACTAGACACGGATCTCACTCCCGAACTGTCACAAGCACAACCATGTTCTCGACAACGAATCGATATGACGCGCGTCTTAGAAAGGAGGACCCGCCGGTCCTGCAGGAATAACATTCTATGCTCTGACTAGAACATTTCCTTGGGGGGGGGGGGGTGGAGGAGAAAGCTGATGTCATCTCAGACTGATACGTGCGTGTCAACCGAGTCGCGCGATACATTTTCCCTATGCGACGCTGTACGTATATATATATATATATATACATTTACTTACGCTTGAAACTAGTAATTATGGCATTGTTAGAGAGAGAGAGAGAGAAGTCGCAACATCCAGCAGACAAATTTCTCGCTCTTCGTCGTTATAATCGACGTCACGGCGACAATGGCAGGCGGATAATCGCGAATTACACCATAACGACAAACACGCCATTGCAAACGCGAAGGACGCGAGATTTATGACGTCTACTCGGTGTAACCCGCCCTTCTTGCAATTAGTCTCGTCTTCCGCCACGATGGTAAATTAGGCTCCCCCTCTAAAAAGCGAGTTTGTCTCTCGGTGCGAACACTTTGTGCGATAATAACGCGAAAATCTATTTTCCTCACCGTATTTTCGATCGTCGATCGTACCATATTTCCTAGCAGACGAGACGTACCACCACCACCACCATACTATGTGTTTGGACGGTGTCGCGTCAATCCATCGACCTTTCTCGCGGAAACTTATCGCTACGTCGATTCGCAGTCGTTTAGTCACGAGGCGACGCGCGCCAAAGGACATCGACCGGAAGTTTCGGAATTCGGTCGAACGTTCCAAATATCGTCGACAGCAACGATGGCAGCGTTGGCAGTTAGCGAGCGACATATTCCTCACGACGTGACTAGTGAGAGAACTCGACTCGTCGGGCGAGACGGTGACGGATTTACGAATCCATCGTCGACGAAGAAGTAGGACGGAGCTTTTGGAAAACAACGTCGTCGTCGGCGTCGTCGCGCTTCGACATCCAACCATATACATGCCCACACACACACATATAGAGCGTTCCGTGTTTGTCTGACGCTTTGTACATACGTATATCCATACGCGTCGCGCCGGTATCAAACGTATGAAACTTACAGCCGTATTAGCAGCAACGCTTTAGTGTAACCTGGCGTATTCCGCTTTCGAACTTCCTCGGAGTTTCGACGCAATATTTCCGACGAACTCAGCAAAGTTGATACGGGTGCACGTCGTACGTCGTATTGTTGCGTCAAGTCATACAGCGGGAAGTGTGCTACGTCGACTCATTCGGTCGACTCGCCAACTTTGGTCATCCATTAGCCGCTAAACTTTTTAAACGAATCTAAAATAACATACGTCAGTAAAATGCACGTAGTTACTGACCATTAAGATATTTGAAACACATGCGACTCGCAGAGGTTTCGCGCATAAAACTGTACAATTCTGACGCAAACCTGCGCCAGGAAGTAATAGGCCAAAGAGAGAGAAAAAAAAACCAAAAAACAAAAGACGAGTTTACGGACAACGCTTTAAATACCACCTTGAAACAGGACCGTTTTGCATTTCGAGAGTTATTTCGCGCGAATAGTAGAACGAGGTGCCGGAATCGTTATCGTTGATTACAATTGCAAAGTTGGGAGGAGTCCGGCCGAGACAGGACCAGGAAGGAAGGAAGGAAGCTCGACGAAGGGGCGGCCGAATGCTCTCTCGGATACGCGCACGGTGCCGAACTACGACTACTGCGAGACGGTAGCGAATCTTTTGTAATGTAGATCGCAGGACGATTTTAACGACGGTTATACCCCCTCGAAAGTGTGATAAACAGTCTGCGTGCATCCGTGTCGTATGATACATACAACGGCTCGAGGCGATCCCTTCGTGCCCTTCGTGCCATGGCCGACTTCGGGTTCGGGACAGAGCGACGCGATCTGGCGCAACATAAATTGCCAGCTCGTATATACTTGAACATTCTTCCATGGCCGGGTATTATAAAAGTTCTCGCGAAACTTTATCAATTTTACGGATACGCCACGTGTACTAGGAAAAAAAGAAACGAGAGCTCGTTTACCATCCTTTTCTCTCTCTCTCTCTCTCTCTTGCCTTCCACTCGCTTTGATCGCTTTCACGTATATAGTCGCGAGCACACATGTACGTACGTTTCGTATTTTTACATAACTACGTACGAGCGATTTCTTCCCGTTTGCACCAACAAGATATTATCTTTGTAAAACTGCTAATTTACATCAAAGATCGAAAAGATGATCGATGGCATACGTTTGTACGTTGTAAATTCACAAAACAGTGATAGAGCTTCGTTGGTTTCTGCACGAGTTACACCCGTGCATATCCGCTTTGATATCGGAAGGAAGGAAGAAGCTCGTATACTCGTACCGTGGGGCAGAGCGAAGAAATTCTCTCGAACAAGTCTCGGCAACGACGGCAACCTTGAAAAATTGATACCGTAGGCCGTCTCGACTAGGCTTTATCGGAGTAACGGGCAACTAAACGTACCATTTTATTGGATCCTACGCTCCGGTACGCTGCGAATACCGGTATACGAACGAAACCCGAAGCGCTGTTGACTATAGTAGACGCTGTGCGTGAATCTCAATCGCGGAACCAGTCTGGCGAAACAAAATAGGTTTCCCGTCTACCGTGTAACTCGCCGGCTTACTTCGAGATTCGCTCGACCGACACACAATCCCGTGATACCAAAAGTTGGAGGCACAGCGTTGTCCAACAACAAACATGGCGGAATTGTTGATCCATGTTTGCTCCTTCAACGTGTAGCAGCATGCGTAGTTATAATATCTGCAGCATCCGGTGCATAGTTATGCAGAGTACCTGGTTTAACGTCGCCACGAAATTTAGAGCTTCTTTTTGCGCGAACACAAAACAGTGCTTAGGCAGAAGTTTGTTTACGGATGTAAATTTCGTTGCATAAGTTACAAGTACTTGAACAAGCGCGAAACGTTGGCAATTAATAATCAGGTTTCACTAAATCACTTGAAAATGTTGAATAACTTTTATATCGCGCGGACAAATACGAGTATATCTGAGCTATTAAATATATAATTGGTAGCTCATTACACACAGTTAATTCGCGCAATTGATCGTCAGTTTTGTTGTTGGCATTTTCGTCAAACTGCAGGGCGAAACGTACGTCACGCGGGGTTCAAATATCCTGTAATTTCCGTAGAAATGTACAAAGCGTGGACAAACGCGACGTTCTCGTTACTTTAACCCCTCCTCCCCCTCCGCCCCACACCTCACGTAATCGGGGGGACATTGCTTGTTGCAAGCGTGAAACAAACGACGCGACTGGAAAAAAGAGCAGGTCGAGCGTAGAGTGAGGTCATTTCAAAATGAAAACCCTACGCTGAAACGCGAGACGCCGGTGATACAAGTAGAAAAAGCTGCAACCATCGCGCCATTGCCAGCCAAACGAAACAATATGGGACTTTAATTCAGGATGATGTCACCGGCGACCGTATGAGAAACCATACCAGACCTAACGAAAACACAAAGCGGTATTATTAATATTATACCCTCTCGAACCTGATGAAAGATAAATTATTGCAATCATTAAATTTGAATGTTGAAATTGTGCGGATAATTCATCGTTAAATAACGTTCGTTTTACTAAATATTTAATGAACATTAAAGAACCATCGCGGGCAACTATTTGCTCGTGGACATTAATTCAATGATTCGCGTTGGTAATATAAACATCGGTGATCCACTATCGCATCGATCTCGGTAATTCACAAGAACATTTCGGAAAATTCATTTATTTATGCCCTCTATGTCGCTATATGTAATAATATCATTTGGAAACTTA